GGTCGATGTCGTCATCGTCGTCAACGTTAAGTTGAAACTGACGTTCCATCGTGTCTGCAAAGGCTAACGCCTTGTCGGCGGGGGAGTAGCACACTCCGCGCTCTCCGTGAATGGGTGAGAGAGCAGTCTTCTTCCCCCTGAGCCTACGAGTGACTCGCCAAAGCTCGTCACTCCCAGGTTCGAAGGATTCCAAGAGCTCTTCCCACCTTTCGTTTCGGTGTTCATTGATGGCCTGTTTGACACGATTGGCCATCCTGTTCGCCGCTGTTTTGTCCCCTGGGAAAAGGGTTCGCTGGTAGAGCCTTCTCAGGCGGTTTCTCTCTCGTATCAAGGCTTTGATACGAGGGGGAAACTCGTTGTAGCTCTTCAGCGGACACTCCTCCCTGGAGGTGGCCGCTCGAAACGCATCATTCACAGAAAGCTCGAAACGCTCAACTGCCGCGTCGAGTTCGTCGGGAGAGTCGAGGGCCTCAGGAGGGGCGCGCATCTCTTCGAGCTGGGCTGTGAAGACATCCCAGTCCGTCTTAGATCTCACGCGATACTCAGGGGGAGGAAGATCATCGCCCAGTACCAGGATTACTGGATTATGATCAGAATCTAGTTCCGACACAACGTAAATTTCGCTAGTCAGAGATGGACTTATTCCTCCGTGATCTGACTATTTATAGGTCACGTGATTTCACGTATCCCCTCTTTCCTCTTTCCGCTTCATTGGTTTTAGCGGGAGATTACCGTTTGGCGGGAGTTTACCGTTTGGCGGGAGTTAGTAGTTTTTCGCTTGATTAGAGGTTTCCATATATTACGTAGCTCTACGCTAGCTTGACTAAATGCGTTGTTAGACAACATATACGCGGCTTCTTTGAATTTTCTCCTGAACCAGTGTTCCTCTTTGTGGATGATTTCAGCTTGATCCCACTTGATGTTATGTTGATGTTATGTTTTTAATTTTTTTCAGGGATTTCAAATCAATTTGTATTATATTAGACAACGGAAGAGTGAACTGATGAAATACACCACAAAACATTGTCAACCTCCTTCAAACAAACGTGTTACCTCTTCTCTTCGAATTGGGTAAACTTCCTTCAAAGCTTGGCTGTATAACTTTTTTGATAATAAAGAATGTATTAGACTGATATCGTAATCATTGTTGACGACTATTTGTTTTATTATGTTCAGTTCTTTATTGAAATTCGCCTCTGACAAGGGCACATTTATCGGTCTGTGGATCATACTGCTGAAAACTGCTATTTTGTGCCAGCCAAGCTTTAAACGAAGTTTACCCAATTCGAAGAGAAGAGGATAAAAGTTACAGAACCTTAACCTACTCAGGCCAACCCACTACAAATATTTCAGATTTTCTGCACAACAAAGGTGTAAATATTGCGTTCAATAACAACTTAGGCATGCACGGTAAGAATATCAAACATAAAATTTCAGTTTCAGAAAAATCGGGAGTGTATAAATTATCATGTGGGTCATTTCCGATGTTATATATAGGCCAAACTGGAAGAACGTTCAAAGCCCGCATAAAGGAGCACAAAAGTAGTTTTCAGAATGGAAAAATAAATTCAACATATGCCACTCACAGAGGGACATGAGTTCAACTATGAATACAAGCCCCACCATTTCCAGAAGAAAGGTTTTAAACTCTACCTGTTGGAGAGTATGGAAATGAACAAATTCAAAACCTCTCAATATCTTATGAACGATCAAACTGAAACTGAACTGGGAAAAAAACTCCAGTAATATTAATTCGCCATTATTGAATCTGTTCATTTCCAGGTAACAATAGTAAAGTACATTTATGGTGCTTTCGAAAAATTCATTCATATAGTTATTGAATACATGTTTCATCTTTTCATTAGAAAGTAGGCATATGAGTATGTGTTAGGGAATAAAATGGTTGTAATTTAGAAGTAACTTTTAGTTTACGCATGAGGAAGCTATTGTATAGCGAAACACGTGTCGCGGTTTTTGTAAAACCATTTATAGTGAAAATCATACAATAAACTGTATTAATTAGTTTCAATATGGATTTTCATCAAGTATCGGTCAGTTTTATTCAATTAAAACGAAATAAGTCAAATCAATCCTCATTTTATTCAATCATTTCTATGTTTCTATCTTGTTCCGGCAATGACTTTACGAATCTGTTACTATTCGGAATTCTTACGTTATCAGTTTCGTTATAAATATTTGATCGAATATCAAGAATGTACCATTGATAACTTATCATTCACATTCCAGTAATACGAGATGGAGGGCGGAGAATCTCCCTTGGATGTCCTCTCGAGAGCTGCCACAATGGTACAGGAAAATCAGTCGTTTTCTGCTTCAGGTGAGCATTTTTTAAATATATTTTAAAATTCGTAAAAACAAAACACAAATTGAAATAACGATGCCACAAGATATATGGATCCCGAATATTTTCAGAAATAACAACTGAATATATAGGGTGATACATACTCTTTGAAAGATTTGTTCATATGATTCATTGGCAGTTTAATTTTAACGTTCGTTATTAAGTTTTGCACGAAGCGTATCCTGGGTTTTGACTTCTTTATACGAGATTATTTTTTCTCTTGTCTTCGATTCCTGTTGACATGAAGAAATATGAGGTCGTAGACGTTCGTTAAATATTACACGATGGAAGTCCGAACTGATGAATAAATTCCATATATTTGCATATAGGCGAAAACACCGTTTCTTTCAATTTTCATTTCTAATAATTTCATCCCCTAATAACTGAGTTTTATGCTTTTTGACACGCCAGTATATACTATATGCGATATATTTAATCCATATTTCAAATTTTGTTTATATTGAAATGATTATTTTTTCTGTATTTTCGGAAACATGATATTCCCAATCACCTAATATTAATTGAAAAATTTGAAATGATCTCAGAGTTTACTTGGTATACTATGAATACATCAATTGATTGCACACTCAGTAATATTGTTTGAAGGTGATTGACAATGTTTCATGATGCTACGGATAGTGTTACCGGATCTGAAGCAGGTTCTGATGTTGTACTTGGAACCAATTCTTCTTATCTTCTCCGATAATCCTCTGATGTAGGGAAGTGCAAGCACTGGTTGTGACGGCTTCTCTTCCTTGCGAGGCTCCTGCTGT